ACGAGGACTCCCCGACAGAGAGGCCCCAGTGGCAGCAGGACGTGCAGGGGGACCAGCCGCAAGAGGGGGTCCTTCCACTGTAATGGGAGGGATGGGGGGCCGGCGGTGCGGAGGCAGAGGCGTGGGGTTTGGTGTGCGCCGTGGAGGGAGCGGGAGGCCTGGTGACGGTGAGCAGAGAGGCTGGGGCCGATGCTGCGGCAGGACGGGGTTCACACAGCCCCGTGGAGCCCGGGGTGCTGGCGGGATCACGTACAGTCAGCCCTCACTGCACGTCACCAACAGCCTCTGCGACTTTCAGCAAAATGATGTGTAAGGAAACCAACTGTACCAGAGGCCGATGCAAAGGCGGGTTAGGTTCCTATGGCGCCTTACAACCTACGACAGAAGGACGCTGGAGGAAACATGCAGGTGTGAGGCCGTCTCTTTGGCACAGGTGGGTTTTTTTGTTTTTTGTTAATCCTCATGTATTGATTTTTTTTTTTTTAAGAGAGCATGGGAGGGAGGGAGGGAGGGAGGAAGAAGCATCGATGGGAGAGACACACACGGACTGGCTGCTTCCCGCATGTGCCCCTCTCCTCCGGGGCCAGGGATGGAACTTGCGACCAGGTACCCGCTGCTGAGTGCAGGGGCCGATGTTCTGACCACTGAGCACCGGCCAGGGCGGCACTTACCTCAGTTGTAACTGCATTCTGACGATTCGATTCCCACCGGTCTCCCTCAGTAAATGGGAGCAGCACTGGGCTGTCACCTCCCAGCCCTGAGCACAGCCGCGGGACAGGCACGCTGTGCCGTTTCCTAACGTGACAGATTCCTCTCCCTCCCCGGTGCCTGCTCTGAGCTGGTGGTCCTGACGCATGAAACAGCCTAAGGCACTGACTGCAGAACCCGGGGATTAGTGGAAGGTACAGATCAAGGTGCTTCCAAGTCCTCGGAAGACTTCCTGGAGGAGGAGGGTGCTCTGGGGGGGCTCGCAGGACTTCGGAGAACAGTGAGGAAGTTCATGGACCCCCGTGGACAGAAGCAGGGCGGGTGGCAGCCAGCCCGGAGCCTCGCCCTGGCTCTGCCCTCAGCTGCCAAGCAGGCTTCTCTTTGGGTTGTATTCACCCCACCCCACCCCGCCCTGCAGGAACCCCCGGGAACAGCCACTGTTGGTGCAGCATCTTCTATGAAGAAGGCCCCTGCTATAAACCATCAGGCTGAATCCTCACCCTCTCTTGCTTAATGGGTAAGAGGCGGAGTTGGTGCCCGGGTGCCCTGTAGCTCCCTGAGCTCTCAGAACGGGGACTGGGCCCTCGGTCCGCACCCTGCCCCGCGGCCAGGCTGCCTCTCGGGTGGCCGCCACCCGCGTGAGCATCTCCTGCTGGGACCTCCCCCCACCTCAGGTGGATGCACGGGGTCCTCCCAACAGGCGAGCCTTCAGAGGCAGCTGACGCTCACGCAGGGCCCGCCTCGCCTCTCCAGCCCCGAGCTGCTGCCGGAGTCTCCTGCCGGGAGCTTTTCTGAAACCGCCGGCTCCTGTGGTCGCTCTGGGCCCTGAGCCGCAGCCTCCCGCTTACACCTCTGCCGCCCTGCACCCTGGGAGCTAACCCGGGGCAAGGGCGAGAGCCTTCTATTGCTTCAACCTTCAGCAGACACTGAGCACCGAGCGCCTGCATCTCCCAGTTTGCACTGGCAGGCTGGTGGCTGGAAAGCCACCCTCTCCTGGTTCCTGAGGCCAGAAGCCCGAGGTCGAGGGGCGGGCACGCTCGGTTTCCTCGGAGGCCCCTCCCCGGCTTGCGGATGGCCGCCCTCCGCTGCCTCCTCCTGTGCCTGTCCCCGTGCACACACCCTGGTCTGCGTCCAAACGTCCTCCTGTTACAGGGAAACACTTCAGGCTGGATTCGGGCCTCTGCCTCCGCACCCACCTGGCCCCATCCCTCCTGTCAGTGGGGGAACCACCTCTCACAGCTGGTCCCCCCACGTGCTGCGGGCGCCACACGTCCTGCCGCCACGGGGCCTCGCTGCCGGGCAGTCCTCTCAGTCCTGTCTCCAGCCTCTTCCTCCGCCAGCAGGCTCAGGCCTCACCATCTCGAAGGGAAACCCCATGTCCAGGGCCCAGCTTCTTCGGTCTGTCTGTCCATCCCTGTGCCAACACAACACTGCCGCAGCAATCTTGCCTCGAGTCGTTGGGATGCCCATCTTGTTCGTTCAGTGCCTTGGACGGTCTTGGCTTTTTGCGTTCCCTCATATATTTTAGATTTAAAAACTTCATTTTGTAAACCTGTGTTGCTGGAACGCAGGCCCGTGAACCTTTGTATATTTACCCTGTACCCAGTCGCCTTGACATTCACTCACCTGTTTTATGTACACGTTTTTCTGGATTAGCGACATCAGTGGCCGCTGTGCGTGCGAGTCCCTTTGCAGCCGGTCCCCTCCGCCTTCTTGAGTGGTTCACTGACCAGTCCACCTTCCCAGCGAGGGCGACTGGAAGTGCTGAGTCGGGACTAACCCTCCAAGTCTGATTGATAGTCACTGTCGTTTTTGTGGATACGCCATCAGAACAGAGAACTTCCCTCCTGGTCCTAACGTGTTCAGTTTTTACAAATATCACGACTGGATGTCGCATTTCATGGTAAACTTTTTTTCTGTGTGAGCTGATGGTGATTTTCTGTGAACGCAGTGATGTTTACTGGCCTTTGGAAACTGTTACACCCCTCTTGCATCTCTAAAATAGTGTGTCAGTAACATGCTTAGGATCTGTTCACACACGAGATGCGCCTTTCCCTTCCCTTTCCTCTCTTCGGGTGCTGGTATCAGTGTTACGCTGGCCTCATAAACTGAGCTGTGGGGCGTTCCCTCTTTTCCTGAAGAATCTGTGACTAGCAGCACTTCCTAAAATGTTGGTAGAATCTGTTGATGAAACTGAGCCTGGAGCTTTCTCTGTGGGAGTTTTAAAGATTAAACATTGAAATATAATCACGTTTATATTGTCTCTGAGGGCAGAGCTGAAGAAGACAAAGGAGTGACATGCACCTTCTCTAACCTGCACACACAGGCCAAACGCCCAGTGCAGGACCAGGGACGGGGCCAGCCTCCTCCACCTCCGCCTCCGCCTCCGCCAGGGCAGGGCATGCTGTGTGTGTGGAGGGGAGGCCACCTGGGGCTAGACTCCATTTACTGAGATGTTTTGGGGGCGCGGCCTGCTGTTTTCCAACACAGATGATTCTCAGAGAAAGCCGTTAGCCCTGATCTTCTCTGACCCCCACATAGTGTGTAGCCTAAAACACAGAGCCGCACCCCGCTGTCCACTGAAGCATTTGTAACGAGAAACGGAAGACAGATGTCTGGTAATGAGAGAACGGTCACGTCCATCATGGAACACTTGGATGGTGCGGCCACCCAAATGCTTTTTATAAGTGGTTTCTCCCACGCCCTAACGTTAGGTACAGTCTTAGCTGCAGACATGAGATGTGTGCTGCTAAGTCAAGTTCATCCTGTGAAACGTCGCCTAAATAAGATTTGATGTAAAAAAATCCGAGGACTATATAAAACTGTGCAGGAAGAAGCAAGCAGGTACCATATCACACAAATGCAGGGGAAACCTGAACTTCGAGAACAGGGTTTTAATTGATTTTCCGCGCACAGGCCATGGCGCTGGGTCGTCAGAACCTTGGACAGCACCGCGGGGCTTCTCCAAAGGACTGGTTTTGTGCTAAGTCTGACATGTTAAGGTTCGTCCTGTGCTTCTCTGCGTTTTAAAAATCTTAGCTTTACTGACTTTCCTGTGAAAATGGGTCCCTTATGTGACCCATTGACAATGACAGAGCATGAACTTTTAAGTGCCCTCTCCTGTTTGCAAAGACCGCGTCCTGCTATTCATCTGAGGATAGAAATGAAGACAGTAAAACATCATTTAAGTAACATTTAAATTGCGGTGTTGTTAAAAGAGCAGTGTGCCAATGCCTTCAAAATAAGGGACATAAAAATATAGGGATATAAAGTCTAAATTTTGATTTAAAATTTACTAACTGGTAGCCCAAATGATCTCAGCTGTTTGTCTCCCACTTTGCAAGCGGGCATCTCTGAGTAATCTGCAGAGCCCCATGGTTAGATTCAGAAGTAACTGAAAAGATGCGCCTCAGCATTAGTGTCCCTCAAAACCACCAAACCCTCGGGACGCATTAATATGGACCCCCCCACGACGAATTCAGTAGCATACTACTGATATTGTGAGAATGACTATTTTGAACCAGCAGCACCCACTGTCAAGTATTAAAACATCACCCGCAGGCACTCGGACTCCGAGTCCAGCAGAAAGCCTCGCCTGCTGGCGCTTAAGGCGAAGCAGCAGAAACCGAACTGCTCCGCCGGTCTGCTCTTGGGAGCAAGAATATGGCCACAGGACTCGCTGTGACCCCCGTCTCTGCACGTCTTGTAAGGCTGGCCTCCCGCTCCCCCCTGCTCTCTCCTAAATGACTGCCTGGGGTGGCGACTTAATCCTCTCCAGCATGTAAGGCCAGGCTTGCAGGAGCCCGAGCCACTGCTGGGGACAGGGAGGCTGTTGTGCTGGGGATTAATCTGCCGAGACCGTCCAGGCGGCCACAATGCAGCCGCCAGCATGTTTTCCCTCCGCAAGCCCCGCGTTTCCTATTTAGAGAACACAGGCCCACTACCCCTTCTGCCTTCCCACAGGCTCCTTTTGTTTACTGGTGTTTGTTATTATATGGCTCCCACGGGCACGTCTGTGTGGTTCCACTGGTGTGCACACATCCATTGAGGAGAGAAGTGTCCATTGCAACCTTGTTAAAGGGAGAGGGGGGCTCCCACTGTTTCCCCTCTGGCTAGGCCTCCATTCAGAGCAGGATTTTAATTAACTCTCTGGTCCAGAGGAGGACTTCTTTGTGCGTCTTAAATTCTGCAATGGCTCCTGCACTGGAAGAAAGTCACCATGAGAGAAGATGCTGTTTGCAGATTACAACCCTAGAGACGGACACTTCCTCAGAGGGACACAGCACACGAGATACCACAGTGGAAAACTTTTATTTCAGTCGTAACGTGCATGGGGAGTTTTTACAAAGCAAATGAAGTGTGGCTACAAAAACATTGGGACACTCAGTATTTTGGGAAAACGTCTGGTTGGCTCTGTCGTTTTGATTTTGGAAGGTTCACCATGAACTGTGCAAAACCTCTAGGTGCCTGAGCTGAGCCACATGGCTGCTCGAGGAGATGAGACGTGTCACGCACTGACAGAGTGACACCCAGCAGAGGCTCTAGGCTCATATCTAGACGGTCACAAAGACTGGTGCCTACTCAGCCCTATTCTACTCCAATATGAATATACATAGGAGGGTAAAGACAGACAGATGAACAGATCTGGTCAAATTACCTCTGCTCCCCAGAGCTGCTTTGCAATTCCAGCGAGGCCACGGCCAACACGGAGCGGCGGCCCCTATGAGACGGCTGCGGTGACCTGAAGACAGCCGGACCCTTAGCCAGGCCCCGCGTCGGAGCCGAGCACACGGCACTCCTCCCCTCCTGGAGCACGGAGGTGGGTAAGAGGCAGGCATCAGCTTTACACAGAATGAGTTCTGAGAAGCCTGCTTCTAGAATGCTCTGGAAGGAAAACAGTTAGTGGCCCCCAAGCTCTGGCTATGAAGGGACAGGGCTTGGGGACAACACAGCCCAGTACCTAACACAAAAAGGGAATGGGCTCTATTCTTCAGCGTCTCTTGGATGAATTAACTGGAAGAGAGCCTGCAGTTCTGGAAAGGCAGAGGGGTGAATCAGTCACAGGGAATGACTTTGGTAGCCGGCGGAGTTCAGGAGGCCCAGTGGGAAGAGGGAGACAAAAGGAAGGAAGCTGACTCGCCACCTGAAGGACAAACGGGGTCCCAGCAAACGCGTCCCGCCAAGTCGCCGCAGCCTCCGCGAGCAATCCACTCCTCACCCGCTGCTGCAAGAGGTGCCATCTGGGGCGGGAATGCCCGCGGCATCCACGGGAAGGCGCACCACACAGCTACGTTTAAAGCACACAAACGACAGGCCACTCACGCACTTCCACCTCTAAGCTGACACACAGACTACATCTAAGAGCATCGCGCGCCCTGGCGCTGAATCTCCACACGCACGATTTCACATATGCCGAGGACAGAAAACCCGCGAAGCAGGCTCCAGAAACCCAGACGTCTGGACGGAGGCCATTCACTAGGGAGAAAAGGGAAACAGAATCACATGTACAACCAACCTATGTCCGAGACGCGCCGCAGGAAGGGGCCAGTGTGGGCCGGGGACGGGAAACTGAGGAGACACTGAGCTCAGTGTCACACAGGGAAGGTGCTCTTTACTGAAGTCAGTGTGAGCTCCTTAGTCTCATCCTGCCAGAAACTTAGACCACACATACATGTGCTGTGCTCATATATTCCCCCAGAACGAGTTTGAAATTTTAACTCTTTTAAGAAAATGGCATAAAGCCTGAAAAAAAATTACCGGCAAGAAAATTCAGGGCCCTCTGCGATGCTAGGAGGCGCCGGGCCCCACCCTCCTTCCCAGGAAGGAGCCTGCCGTCTAGGGTCCCGGAGGTGGGAACCGCGCACTCACCGGCGGAGGGGTGCTGGTGGCTCTCAGGACCAGCTTGTCCCCCCTCTTCTCCACTTCAAAGCCCATCTTTCTGAGGAGGGACGCGTCGGCCAGCCCCTGCTCCTCCATCCTGGCTATCAGGTCCTGGTTCTGGCTGTTGTCTTCCGTGAGGTTCCTGATGGCGTACACCACCCACTGCGTCAGGACTGGGGCCAGAGTGAAGGAAGCTGCCAACACGTGCCTGCGTCAGAAACCCGTGAGCGCTGCTGGGGGCGGCACCGAAACCGCGACTCAGTGGCGCTTTTCTTGAGGATGTGCTACGGCTACGCGTCTAAAGTGGAAATACACTTACAACACGGTGCACACGCATGCACACACTGGGAGCGAGTGAGTCAGACGGTTCCCCTGCTCAAGAACCTCAAAGGAAACAGTAAAGGACGAGCCCATTCCTGAGGTTACACAAATGGAATGTAGAAAACAGGCAGTTTTGTGTTTAGGATGCGTTTTCTGGGGCCTGAAAGTTGCACATCTTTGTTCCCGACACACCCAAGCTGGCTCCCATCCTGACCTTCCAGGGCCTTCCTGGCTCCCTTAGCCTCCTAGTCAGACCGGCACTGCGGCCGTCCTGCCTGTCCCAGCTCCTGCAGGAGCCCGCAGGCAGGTGGCACAAACAGAACCAGCAGACGAGCACTGAGTGAAGGACCATGGTCCTGGGGGGGGGGGG